CACACACACACACACATATATATATATATATATATATATATATATATCACCTTTATTATTACTTAAGGCAATAAACAAATGGAATATTCCTTCCTCCTTCTATTTTCCCCATAATAACAACCCCATGTAGTTGGACCAACTGGTCCAATGTTACCCAGCCAACTTTAATGCATAATTTTCTAGCCTGATGCCCTAACCACTACAGCAAATTGGCTCCTTCCCCATTTACCTGGGGCAATGGTGTTTCCTAATAATGTTTATAATGCTCTCCTTTCCCTGTTTTCCAAAGCCAGCAGTTTTTGAATTCCAGTTTTGGGGCGCTTATGAGTTATGACTTCCATATCCGAGTTCCAAAATTTGTGTCATCCACTAGACCAGGGGTCAGCAACCTTAAACAATCAAGGAGCCACAAAGGTCCTAACCGGAAGTCCCTCATTCAATTCTGGAGCAGACCAGAAGTCCAATTTCCTCACCATAGAGTCTCCTCCGTGCATCTTTTTTCCTCTTCCTGCCCTAACCAAAAGTCCTATCAATTGTGGAACTGACTGGAAAACCCGCCCATTGCCATTGAGCCTCTTCCTGGCGCGCCCTGATCCCCCTCCCCAACTAGAAGCTTCTCTCAAAATTGTTGTGCTGACTGGTGACAGGGAGCCGCAGCAGAGGGATGAAAGAGCCCCATGTGGCTCCAGAGCCGCAGGTTGCTGACCCTTGCACTAGACAGCACCAAAGAGCCAATGTCTTCTGCCTCTTTGCTGCCATCTAGTGGTCTCCTGACCCAGCTAAGGCAATGCTACCTTAAGATTAAGTTGGGGAACTCACCATACCTGTGTACTTTGAGCAATGCCATAAAGTCATTGTTAGATTCTGTGTCTGAAACTAACAGAGCCACCTTGATTTTTCCAAAACAGGACGCTGTATTGCCAGGAAGCTAGAATGTAATGGAGAAAATGACTGTGGAGACAATTCAGATGAACAAAATTGTAGGAGAATAAAGGTTGTCTGCACATCGCCATATCAAAGCATACCCAGCGTGCACAGCATGGGCTTCGGGTAATATACATGAAGAGCTCTTCTCATTATTGAAACAATGACATCTAGTAGTCCCCAAGGTAGCAGAAAACTGTCCCACCCTTACATGCTTCTCCCATCGTTCATCCTTATATAACAATATTGCTAGATGGTGGTGTTTTTTATTTAAAGGGTTAAAGATATATTATGGAGTGATGGATTTCCTGGATAAGCAAATTCTTGCCTGAATCATCAGTAAGGTGGTAACAACAAGGGAACCCATAGAAAATTATGGTACCATTTATCAAGATGATGACAGTGATTACAACTGATGCGCAGTTGTGCTGCTTCATACCACTTCTGGATCCACAGCTGACTTTCGACCACCATTTGACGGCTGTGACCAGGGGGGCATTTGCCCAGGTTCGCCTGGTG